TTGAAAACATCTAAAAGTCTTTCTCATTAAAACTTTCCTTTCAACAGAAAACGAAGGGAGATGAAGCTTGGAGTGTGCCCATTTCTGTGTCTCATGGCAAATTCTGTTTGCAGAACCAACCACATACATATGGAGGACACACTGCCTTTCATCTAGCTGAGTCCAGGAATTTTTCAACTAGATTTCGTAGAATTCTGCCAAAGGCAAAATGATGGGACCAAATAAACTGGCATATTTCAGCTGAAAACTCTTATTGTCAATACCTAAGCCCTGGGAAAGGCATTTCCCTGTTTTAGAATGGAAAAAAACCCAGAAAAGCTGGTGAAGAGTAGAGGTGTGCATATTTTTGCTTTTGGACTACAACCCTAAGAATGCCCCAGGAACCAGACAGGTGTAGCCCAAAAACATAAATATGCACACCACTAGAAACCAGCAAACTATGGTGTCATTGGTGAGTGGGTGGGCTCACCTTAGTCCAGAGAACTAGAGATTGGGACACCACGTTAGCTGGATTTGGTACAACGGCCTGAGCCCCTCCACCCTGATTTAGATGTTGCTCTTGTTTGTTGCATTGGTAGTGGGTAAGATTTAAGACTAATTCAGACAGACGAGTGGAATGACTCTTCCGCTGTTGGGAAAAAAGCATACACATTTTCTTCACTGAGCTGTGGAGTAAAACATTTCCTGTTCTCACACTGTAGTGAAGAATTTGTCCACCACACAATTTTAAATAATTTTCACTCTCCACCATTTCTGGAAAGATAGCCATGTTAGTCTGCTGCAACAACAACAACAAAGGTCTTGTGGTCCTTTAACATTTAATACATCATAAGGGACCTCTGGGTGTGTGTGTGGAATTAAAGCATCAGACTCTAAGAACCAGTATCCACTCCACCAGATGCACCCAATGAAGATTAAGAAGTGTGTTAATCTTCCTTCAGAGTGTCACATTGTCCCAGAATAGCGCTTTATGGATACCTTGGAAGCCAGGAAGACAAGACAAGTGGGTCCTGGATCAAATCAAGTTGGAACTCTTTCCAGAAGCAAAAAATAAGCAGACTGAGACTATCATATATCATAAGAAGACAAGACTCACTGGAAAATACTGTAATGCTGGGAAAAGTTGAAGGCAACAGAAAAAAAGGAACACCAAACTGGCGATGGATTGACTCAAGGCTGTGGCTTCCTATACGTGTACAAGATCTGTTGATGGTAAGATGTTTTGGAGGTCACCTCATAGGGTCACCATAACTCAGAAGAGACTTGAGGGACATAACAACAAGACAGTTTGAAAAATGAGCATAGCATCATTCTCTTGGGCCAGAGCTCACTTCCTCAGATGCATTTAAAAAAAGATTAATAAATTTGCCAAGACATTATTCAGGGTGTCACACAATTTCTTCATTGTCTTGATGACACAGAACAGGTATTGTAACTGCTACTACATTTTCTTCATTGTCTTGATGACACAGAACAGATATTGTAACTACTACTACATAGTACAGTATTTAATTCTTGGATGTTGTAGGCCTTCAAAGTCAGTATTTGGAATCCCAAATATGACTTTCTGTATTATGTTATTTCTAAGCATGTGCAGAGTGTCTTCTCCTTGAAATAACAACCCCATGCCCACTCATCTAGCATTTAGTAACTTTTCATGAAATGTGTTGCTTTTACGCTATAAATAGATTTGTTACAATCAGTTGGGGTTACATCTATTTAAAAGTTGTATCATATATATAAACGTTATGAAACAAATTAAAAAGATTTACAAACACAGTGGCTGAAATCCAGTATGAAGTCACTGCTAGAGCTCAAAGTCAGAATTAGTGGGGAATTAGTGGGGGAATTAGTGAGTCAACGCTTATGGAAATTCCACTGAGTCAATGGGTCTACTCTAGTTGTTACTTGCTACTGGAGTTCAGTGAGTGTGTGAAATATATCTAGAAAAAGACCTTAGTTTCACAAGTATTCGGAACACTTCAATGCCACTCCTTACCTTTGTGTGCTTTTTCTTCTCTTCCTCACATCTACTTTTTCTTTCTTTTCTCACTGGTCTTTCTTTTCTTCCACTTCATTGCTCGCACAGTCTTGCCCATCTCTTCTCGTATAATAATAGTGACAATTTATTATTAGCACTAGTACGACTGTAGGAAATGGGGACGCAGAGGGAATATGTCTACAAAACTGACAGAAGGAAATAGAATGACAACAGTCATCCATATCATTTCCTTGTTCTCTTCTTCTTTCCATGGCTGGCATCCAACAGTACCATGAGTATTGTGGAGAAAGTTTGCAATTTCAAGCATGGAAGGAGAGGGCAGAAAATGGGCATGCAAAGCAAAGACTAAGGACATACAAAAGGGCTGTAAAATTGAGCAACATCTTATCTCTCAGCTCTCCAAAATGAGGAAGCAATAAAGCAATAGGACACAAGACAATACCTCCTTCCCAAGTTGGAAACTAATCCAATCTACCTCTTGAATAGCCTACATTTGCCGTGATTCCAAGGTTGCTTGGAGAGCCTCATCACACGAACTAAGGATCTAGTGAAGCAGCTCACACAGTCAAGGCTTGGAACCAGCAATTGGTCTGGGATTGTCTCTCTTTCTCTGTTCCCATTTCCTCCCAACTTGGCCACCTTGGTTCCAAACCTGGAATTAAGGCAGGGGACAGAGATTTTGGAAGAACTTCTGCCAAAACTATTCCTGCAAAGCAGAGGCATCCTCTGTGCATGTATACCAAGAATTAAAAAAAAATATCTCCCCCTGGAATTTCTGTGCCCATTTCTACCAATAATAATTATGGTGTATGCATGAGAAGCCCAAACAGCTCTCCTCTCCAGTTAAGAACATATTTACTCCAAAGCTTTACTCCAAAGTTGGATATGAACAGTTTACAATAGGTATAATACCCATATTGCTGTCTGTTCCATTGTTTAAAGTATGTATTTGTAATAAACAGATTGTTGGCTTCACAGAACTCTATGAGTCATTCTCCTGCTTCATATCCATCCCCCTAGGCTAAATTTTCCAACAGCATTTGCTTCTGCTTTGTTCTCTGCTTTTGAGTTCCATTTACCTACGGATATAAACATGCCTTGTTTCAGTGTGTGACTGATTTCCTCTTGGATATTTATGTAAAAGCTTTCAATTTCTTCTTCTTAAGCACTAGTAGTTTTCTCGGGCTCCCTGATCACTGCAGATGGAGACAGCAGCCACGAAATTAAAAGACGCCTGCTTCTTGGGAGGAAAGCGATGACAAACCTTGACAGCATCTTAAAAAGCAGAGACATCACCTTGCCAACAAAAGTCCGAATAGTCAAAGCTATGGTTTTTCCTGTCATGATGTATCAAAATGAGAGCTGGACCATAAAGAAAGCAGACCACCGAAGAATTGCAGCCTTTGAATTGTGGTGCTGGAGGAGGCTCTTGAGCGTCCCCTGGACTGCAAGGAAAACAAACCTATCAATTCTAAAGGAAATCAACCCCGAGTGCTCACTGGAAGGACAGATCCTGAAGCTGAGGCTCCAGCACTAGCCTGGAGAAGAGAAGAAGAAAAGACTCCTTGGAAAAGACCTTGATGTTAGGAAAGTGTGATGGCAAGAGGAGAAGGGGACGACAGAGGATGAGATGGCTGGACAGTGTCATCGAAGCAACCAACATGAATTTGACACAACTGCGGGAGGCAGTGGAAGATAGGAGGGCCTGGCATGCTCTGGTCCATGGGGTCACAAAGAGTCGGACATGACGAAATGACGAAACGAAACTAGTAGTTGGAACATAGACTTTAATTACGGTTATGTTGATTGGTGTTCCACAGTCAGATTTTGCATTATACTTCCTTACTGCTTGTGCTATGTCTTACCTTAGTATCAGAGCAACTGTTTTTTTCTGAGTTTGTCATTTGCAAACTTCATACAGTAGTTGTTTCACTGAAAATATCCCTCTCCAGTTGACTTCAGTTCATTGACACCAGACACTACAACGTTATATGTTCCATTTCTTTCTTTACAGTTTTGAATTTACCTTGAGTCATACTTCTCACATTCCACATTGTGTGTTCTGTATAACTTTAGACTTTCCTTTGCTCTTCCCTAGTAACTGATTGAGTGTTTTTCAACCTAGGAGTCTCTTCCTCCGGTACTATCTCTTGTTTCATTTTGGACTGTTTCATCATAGGGTTTTCATGGTAAGGGAAATTCAGTAGGGGTTTACTATTGCCACCCATTTGCAATACTAACAGATGTTAGTTTGTCATAGCCTCCTCCGCCTGTCTCACTTCCAGCTACTGCTGCTATCCAGTAGTTGCCTCGAAGAGCGGGTAGCTATTAATAGGCTCCCCTCTTCAACCTTGGGGCCCTATAAGTTACTTCTGGCTTGAAGGCGCATAACTAACTCTCAAGTAAGTATGATCATGGGCTGAAAAATCCAAAACCTCACCATTAACTTTGTTATTATGTGCCATCAAGTTGCTTCCAAATCACAGCAACCTGATTAAATTAATAACCTCCAACAACAGCCCTGCTCAGTCTTCCAAACTGAGTGCTGTGGCTTCCTTTACTGAGTCAATCCACCTCATTAGCAGTCTTTTTGCCTGCTGCTGCCTTCCGCCTTCCCCAGCATCATTTTCATCCCCACTCTATACACCTACTCAAGAGGAAGGATTCACCCTCCCTTCACCCTTTCCGCCCCTCTTTCTATGGGTGTGTGCTTGGAAGTCAGCCAGCTCCCTCAGACTGAGGGGTTAGTAGCCTCGAGGACGCGACCTCGGAAGTAAAATCCCAATTAAAACCACCCTTCTGCCTAAGCGTGCCGAGGGGCGGCATCCTGGAAAGTATTGAAAACGTCCTTGGTCTTGTGAGGGAACAGCTGGTATAAACTCCTCAGCCTTAAGGGAGGGGGAGTGGAGTGGGCAGCGTTGTGTTAATTAATTTAAAAGCGTAGGGCGTTGATCATTTGCAAAAGCGCTCAGCCCTTCCCCCCCCTCCGCCCCATAGTCTTCCCGACTCCGGACTTTCCGCCTGCTTTCTCTCCGCCCGGCCTCCTCCCGCTTCTCAGCTGACGCTCGCTCGCTCCTTTTTCCCACAGTAGCTTCTAATCCAGACTGTATGGTATGTGGGCTGGTCACAAATCCCCATGTGGTCCGACATCATTGACATGGCGGAATCCCCTTTCCAACCCTTCTGGTAGCGACTCCGGCTCGCTCGCGGACTAAACCGGGCGGCGATTGCTCAGAGAGACACGGCTTCACCTCCCCTCCGAAAAAGCAAGGCAGGGTTTTTCCTCCCCTGGGTTATTCCCCCCCGTTTCCAGCACAAGGTAAGCACCTCGCCTCGGCTTGTCCTCTCCCTCGTTTCCCTCCCCAGATCCTGGAGCTGAAAAATGCCAGGCACGAAACGGGTGGCGACCCACTACTCCCGGTATCTGGAAACGCAAAGGAAAGATTCCGGGTAGATCCCTATCGTGCCCCTGGGCTAGAAGGCGACCAGAAATCTAGGTTTCCCTAGCCATCTTCCTTTTCTCCCCTAGTGCGTTTTTTCCCCCTTTCTCTCTCTCTCTCTTTTTGGTCGCCCTTCCTTCCTCCTAATCCGGATTCCTTTTGTTTCAGAGTGGAAACTCCAAATGTGAACTTGGCGGTCGGCGTATATATTTTGTAATTAAAAATATTTTTTTTTCGGTAAAGATCCCTGCGTAGCGATCCTTCTGGTCTGCGGGCTACTGAAGCCTAAGGGGCACGATTGGAAAGGAAGGAGAATAGGGAGACGGGATGGGTCGAAGCCCTAGGAACTGACTCCAGAAGTTTTTTTTTCCGGGGGGGGGGAATGTTCCCTTTTAAATTTCCCTTTTCTTGTTTGCCGGTGCCTTTTTTTTTTTAAATCTTATGAGATCCATCTTACTTTTTTCTCTCCCCCGCCCCCTTTTTCTCATATGTAGGGGAAAGCAGCCCCCCCCTCCAACCCCGCTCTTTAACTGCGTGGAGGGAGGCGGGAGTGTTTTTAAGATGGGGGAAGATGATAAAATAAAATAAAACCACCACCCCTACAGTGTCAGCCGATCCCTGGTTGTCTAGCGGCTACAGTTGGGAGCAGCGGGAGAAGTTTGGCGGATTTTGAGGGATTTTGGGTGAAGGCAGGCGCCGGGCGACCTTGAATGCATGCAAAGGCGGAGATGTTGGCTGGTGATGCCCCATATTATCATCATCATTATTGTTATTTTAAGGCAGGGGGAGAGCGAAGGAGAGAGCGGTTTGCCGGCTGAGCTCATCTGTGAAGAAGCCAGCCTTAGTGCAAAAATCTGCAACCGGATCCCCCCCCCCTTTTTTTTGACTGGGTGGAGAATCGAGTCACCACCATCATAACCTAGTAATCCAGACAGGCTCCTTGCGGCTGCCCCTTCTGCTTGACACTTTCTTACTTCTGACCAAACATAGGCCCCCCATCCTCAGCTGCCCCCACCCCATTTCCCTCTCCAAACCCCGTTTGCTGAGGTAAAGCACCCCCCCCGCCCAGCAAAACTTGTACAGTAAGTGCAGTGCAGGCCTCCTCCGTGCAAAACCCCTCCGGAAGATGGGCTTTTTGCTGAGGTGACATTTAGAGCTTTTTTTTTCTTTCACGAGGGAAGGCTCTGGGAAAATGGGGGTCTCTGGTTCCACCTCCGCCTCCTACCCAGAAGCGGGGTTGTAAAAGTGGCTTTTTTAGGTGGGGGAAGTTGGTGGTGGGAAGCGACGACCGCCTGGCGCGAAAAGAAGCCGCCCGGCGCTGAGGGAGATTGGCGAGGGCCGGGTCCAAAGCCGCTGCTCTGGGGCCAAGCTGCAACGTAGCGTCTGGCCCCTTCTGGCCAGCTTGGCTGGGAAGGATGATGTCTGCCTTTCAGGTGAAGCCAGCCAAGGCGGCGGCGGCGGCGCGGCAAGGTCCTCCTTGCAGCCTCAAAAGAGCTGGAGGGGGATCTTTCCCTCTCTTCGCCCCCACCCCACATGGGCAAAGTCTTTCCAAAGTGTCTGGATCCAGGGGGCACGTTGGAGAGAGGAGACCGAGACCCACAGACGGCTCTCCTCTCGCCCGTCTTCCCGGAGCCCCGCCCTTCCTCGCTGACGCCACTGGCAAAATGAAGGGAGCAATTCTGGAAACTTTTTATTTCCCTTGCCAGACGCATTTCTCTCCCCCCCCCTTTTTTTTTTTACAAAATGGCATATTACCAAGGAAATGGAATGCTGTTTTGTTTCCTTTTAAATAAGCTTTGTGAAAGAAAGAGAGAGAAAAAAACATTCATCTCCAAAATGCATGGTTTTCACTCTTCCTCAACCCCATTTCCCTTCAGGAAAATGTTTTTAAAAATTTGGGTCTCTGCACTGATGTCTTCTAGCATTCCAGTCAAAGCGAAATTCATTCCACTTGGATTCAGGCCAAAGGTTTTCTCTCAAGGCAGACTCTTTCCTTCGTCTTTCTTATTCTGCTTTCCTTCTGCTAAGTTATCTGCTGACATTGGTGCGACCTGGGCAGTTTTGAGGACGGGGCGGGCTGTGTTGGATGAGCAGGAGGATAGAGAATACTCAAGTGCTAACACTTCGCTGACAGTAGAGGAGGGTCTGTTGAAAGTACAGTATGAGGAATAGTCTATTTTTGGAAGCGATTAATCTGGCAGTGAAGTGTAGAACTGCCTTGTATTGGGGTCAGGATCTAGCCCATAGCTGGCTCTCTTTCTGGCTCATCACATCTATACAGAGTGGCAGAATGTTTATTAGAACTTGGGACCTTTGAAATTAAGAGCATTACCTTCTCCTACTGAACTGTAGGGCTTTCCTATAAAATGTTTTCCCGCTTGCTTTAATATATCAAGTCTCTGGGAGAGGTCATTCATATACTGAGGACACTCATCTCTTCTTTGCAGGAGAAGTATTAAGCCATTGTCTGGAATCTGTACTGGGTTAGGTGACCAGCCAGCAATCTGAAACTGAATCCTGACAACCCAAAGATAGGTTTGTCTTCTGACAGATGGTGTTCAGTCTTTTATGGCTGGGGTTCTATTCTCCTTAAAGTATTGAGTTTGCTTTTTTGGGATGATGCTAGATCCCAATTTTGATCTAGAAGGCTCAGGAATTCACAGGAGCAAGAAAGTGTTTTTGATCAGGTTAGGCTGGTGGTCCCCAACTTTGGTTCCCCAGGTGTTCTTGGACTAGAACTGCCAGAAATCTAAGCCAGCACGTTAGTGGTGAAGGCTTCTGGGAGTTTTAGTCCAAGAGCATCTGAGGATGAAAGGTTGGGAACCACTGCAGCTCCCATTGGTTAAGAAAGCACCTAGTAATCGTGCTGTGTTCTCTCTTATCCACAGTGTTTTGGATCATCTGAGACAACCAGGAAGAGAGGCTTCTTGGTGAGGGAGCCTTATCTGTGGCCTCGCACCAGCATGGTTGTCTTGCTTAGTGCTTTTTCCCCATAGACTTTAAAATATCTTTTAGCACATTAATGCATTTTAATAACTTTTTTTGTTTTATTTACTTTGTTCTTGTAATCTGTTCTGTTTTGCAATCTGCTGATGGGAAGTATACAAATGTTTTAAATTAATGAAGTCACACTTAATGCATGCTTGTTAATTGAAATGGAACACTATGAGCTGTTCAGGTATCATTTCTGGTAGAAGGAGTGATTCTGAGTGTGCATTTCTGATAGACTTTTACCTTCATTGGCTTAGGTCTCTGGCTGCAGAGCCAGAAGTTGGGAGTTTAGTTTCTCCCACTGTACCTCCTTAAGAGGGGCTGGGCTCGATGAGCCATAGGCTCCCTTCCAGCTCTGCAAATTCAAAGGTTATTATTATTATTTGGTTACTACTTGAGTAGTCAGTATTGAATACATCATGGTGGCTAAACCTCTTGTGTTGAGCTGCACTGGAAGATTCACTTAAGAGATTTTTAATGATTAGAGGCAAGAATACAGAGTCCAGAATTTAGCTTGCTGAATGGGTTTGAGTACATCTTCTTTCTCCCAACCCCAACCCCTTTTACAAGAGGAATAATAAAGATATTTGCAGTGCAGTAGGAGAAAGCAAGAAGAATGAGAAAGTCCGTGTTCAGTTAACTGGTTGGCAAAAATATGTGGAAAGAGCAGGAAAAAAGCTTCACTTCTTTCTGATTATGCTTATGTCGTAGGGCGTCTCTGTGAGACCCAAATGGAGGGGACATAGTTGAGGCCTAGTTTTTCTCACTAAGTTCTTTGGTATCTGCCTGATGTCTACAACTTCAGACTGCTGCTCATGGTTTACATGCTTGAATGCTCCACCCTGTGGAAATTTTTCCTATTATAGTCTGGAAGAAACACTGGAAAAATGTTAGGAAAACTTGTTCTGCTTGGAATACACCCGCATACTAGGAGGCAGTGGTTCTGTTCTGATCTACAATTGTACCTCGGTTTACGCAATCTGTGCGTCCTCTGGGACGTTACATCATGCGAAAAATTTGTAAACTGGAATGCAGATTGCCGTAGGAACAGTGGCGGCGCTAAAAACCTCCAGGCGAAGCGAAAGAAACTGGGACAAAAACGTAAACTGAGGCAACGGATTTCCATTCATAAACCAGAAATTTTGTAAACCAAGGCGTACATAAACCGAGGTACTTTTGTTGTTTAGTCATAAAGTCATGTCCGACTCTTCGTGACCCCATGGACTAGAGCATGCCAGGCCCTCCTGTCTTCCAGTGCAACACAACATATATATTGGTCAAATTCATGTTGGTAGCAACTGAGGTACTACTGTATCAAAATCAGAGCTCTCACTTCCACTTTAGGGCTTTGCTGCCCTATTGGTTAAGCGTAGGTCATGTGAGACTGTCACATGTGGGGAGAGGAGAGTGGAACATCTGTGTATGAACATGCGAGGGCACCAGTGGTTCCATGTTAAGCCCACCTGCTTTGTATTTCCCTCTGCCCAGGGCAGAATATCTAGAGACTATATATGTTGTGGGGTGGTCAGATTTGCACCTTCTCCACAGTGATTTTTAGTGTTCTGTAAATATTAGAGCCCTTCAAAGTCCCAGTTGCCTCACTCTAGTTATGTTGAGGGTCACTAATGCTGCTTTTCTAACAGTGCCACCTTGCCTTTGATTCTGCAGAAGTGAAGCCTATTCAGTTCAGTGTGACTTTTAACTCCAGTTAAGTGCATAAAGGACTGTAACCCAAGAGTAGGAATTGGAACTGGGGATGTTGAGTCCAGCAAATACTATGCCTAAATCAGATTGTTAATTTCTGGCAGAGATATCAATGTTTTGTACAATTTAGAAGTGGATGTTGGAACAGTTTGTATGCTGGGTGACTAGGAAGGCACTGTGAAGG